CCAGCCTCTCTGCTAATGGGTGGGGTCATGTTCCTGTCTTGCTAGTTGTTTGGTATGGGGTGTCCAGCACTGGAGCTTGCTGGCCATTAGGTGGAGCTGGGTCTTAGCGTTGAGACAGAGATCTCTGGGACAGCTTTCACCATTTGATATTACATGGGGTCAGGAGGTCTCTGGTGGTACAGTGTCCTGAACTCAGCTCTCCCACCTCAGAGGCTCAGGCCTGACACCCAGCAGGAGCACCAAGGCCCTGTTAGCTGCACGGCTGTGACTGTGGCAGTCTCCATTCTGAAGTCAGATTATGAGGGTCTATAGTAGCTGTTCAGCTATAAGAGGATGACTTGGGAGCCCTTTGTCTATGAGGCTGTATCCAGCAGCCGGTGGCTAAAAGAGTAGGTCTCCGCATGTGATGCCAGAATCTTAAATGTTTATACAGAGGTCTTCACTGGGTTCAGTCACGGATTTGGTACAGATGGCCTCAAGAATACCTTACTCTCTCAAGGCTGTGTGCTTGAAACAGCTCCTAAGCCTGAGGGTCTACAAGCTGCAGTCCAGAATGGGTGCATCGGCCGAATGTGGTTATTAAAAACTGGAAATGTAGCCAGTTCACACTGAGATTTTACACATTGGCTGTAAGTGTAAAATACACACTGGGGCTTCCCTGGTGGCGCAGTGGTTGAGAGTCCGCCTGCTGATGTGGGGGACGCGTGGGCCATGGCCGCTGGGCCTGCGCGTCCGGGGCCTGTGCTCTGCATCGGAAGAGCCCACAACAGTGAGAGGCCTGCGTACAGAAAAAAAAAACCAAAAAAAAAAAACCACACTGGACTTCAAAGGTTTAACAAGAAAAAAAGAAGGTAAAATAACTCAATTTTTTATATTTATTAGTTATATGTAGAACGATATTATTTTGATATATTGGGTTAAATAAACATATTTTTCAAATTAATTTCACTTGTTACTTTTGAAAAGTGTGAATACTGTATGTCCCTTGTGGCGCATTGGTTAAGAATCCGCCTGCCAATGCAGGGGACATGGGTTTGAGCCCTGGTCCGGGAAGATCCCACGTGCCACGGAGCAACTAAGCCCATGCGCCACAACTACTGAGCCTGAGCTCTACAGCCCACAAGCCACAAGTACGGAGCCCGTGTGCCACAACTACTGAAGCCCGTGCACCTAAAGCCTGTGCTCCACAACAAGAGAAGCCACCGCAATGAGAAGCCTGCACACCACAATGGTAGTCCCCGCTCGCCGCAACTAGAGGAAAGCCCGTGCACAGCAACGAGGACCCTGTGCAGCCAAAAATAAATAAATAAATTTATTTAAAAAAATGAGTGAATACTAGAATCTTTAGAATTACATGTATGACTCACATTATATTTGTATTGGAAAATCAGTGCTGGTCTAGAGGGATGTTCATTATATTTTAAGAGAAAAAAAATCACAAAGTTTTATTTTTATACATATATGCACACATATGTACATATATACACATATGTATGTGTATGTATAATATATACATATTATGAACCCATAAATATATACACATATTATGACTGCATTAAAAATATCCCTATATATGTTATGTGTTTGAGTGAGCGTAGGTGTGGGATATGTGTGTGGGTTCATGTAAGTATAGAGAAAAGTGTGGAAGGATACACACCAAACCATTAATCCTGGTGGGGGTTGGAGAAGGGAGGTTATATACATTGTAGAGCAGGGAAAATTACTGTTTTTATTTGACCTGTTTCAAGGAGCTCGTGTTGTTTTTGTAGCTGAGAGGGAAATTAAAATAAAGTATATCTAAATAAATATTTCTTAAGCTTGTTATATGCCAAGCCCTGTGCTAGGCTCTGGGTGTATAAAGATGAAGACCTCCAGGGAATTCCCAGGGACAGGGTTTCTATTTTATTCTCAGGAAGTAGTCAAATGGTGTGCGCAGTGAATGTTTCCTAGAGGAGCTGGTTGAGTTGGAACTGAATCTTGCATGACACTTAGTTTTCCAGATGGAGACGAGTTTAAAGGGTATTCCAGACCGAAGGAATAAACTTTGGAAGACAGGTATACAAGAAACAGCCAGAGGCCTTTGGAAACTGCCAGATTATGTGAGGAAGTAGAGGTAAAGGAAACTGAACAGGTAGGCATAGTTCACGTTTAGAAGGGCCTGATGTGTTAACGGAAGGATCTTCATTCAGTGCTAAAGACTTTGAACTTCCTTCATAGAACAGGACATGACTAGATTTGTATTGTAGAAAGATCATTCTAGCTGTGGAGTGTACAGAACACTGGAGAAACTGGGGATGCAATGGTTTCTGCACTCAAAAATCTTACAGTTTGGGAATTCCCTGGCAGTCCAGTGGTTAGGACTCAGCGCTTTCACTGCCATGGCCTGGGTTCAGTCCCTGGTCAGGGAACTAAGATCCTGCAAGCCTCAGAGCAAGGGGTGGAGCCTGGGGGAAGCTTACAGTTTACTTTGGAAAAGACACAAATGATAACCAGCATTTATCACATGCTTACTTTGCCAGGTACTGTTCTAAGTACTTCACAAACATTAACTCTTTTATTCTTCACAACCTACCCTATGGTGGGTAGCATTTTGATCCCTCCATTTTACAGAGAAGTAAATTGAGACACAGAGGACTCAAGTGACTTACCCAAGGACATCCAGGCAGGCAGGCAGGCTGGCTGACCTTTTGAGATTAAGAACTTAATCCTCATATGATATTGTGTCTTAGGTTTATAATGGAGTGTGTTCAGTTCTAAGCTAGGATAGCTGTCTTGGGGACCATCTAAGATGGACTGGGAGAATCAGATTATTCTATTCCAGAGGAGATGACCTCTAGCCTGAGATCAGCGACATGGACTAGAGTTCATGGGGAGGGTGGTCAGAATCCTCCAGGGAAACGGAGTAGATTGTTTAAAGGCCCTGAGCTGGGAGAGAACATGGCTATTGAGAGGAACTGAAAGTTTTTCAGCATTGCTGGGTCATAGAGTGGTGGGGAGAGAAGGGACTAGTAAAGTGAGCTGGGACAAGACCAGGTGGTTGTTAAAATTTTTTTTTTGACTGCATCCTAAAAGCAATGAAAAGCCGTTGAAGGGCTTCCTTGGTGGTGCAGTGGTTAAGAATCCGCCTACCAGTGCAGGGGACATGGGTTCGAGCCCTGGTCCGGGAAGATCCCACATGCTGCAGAGCAATTAAGCCTGTGTGCCACAACTACTGAAGCCTGCACGCCTAGAGTCCGTGCTCTGCAACAAGAGAAGCCACTGCAATGAGAAGCCTGCTCACCACAACAAAGAGTAGCCCCCACTTGCTGCAGCTAGAGAAAGCCCACACGCAGCAACGAAGACCCAACGCAGACAAAAATACATAAATTTATATATAAAAAAAGAAAAGCCATTGAAGTGTTCAATTTAAGGAGCAACTTGTTTTGCATTTTAGATTACTGTGGCTATTTTGTGGTGAATGGATTGGAGAAGGCAAGCCTGCAGGCCTAAGGTCAGTCAGGATGTTGTTTGGGTCATCTGTGGGGCCAGGCTTCAGGGGAATGGAGAGAAACAGGCTGGACAACTGCTTGTTGAATACCTATTAACTAAATTAAACTGGCATATATTAAATACAATTTTTGTAAGGATTTTTGGGTAACATCAATGCTGAAGCAGTTAGCATACTGTATGAGAATTCTTTGTATAGGAATGAGATGGGGAGCATTGGGAGGAAAAAATGAGGATTTTGGAGCTCTATAGATGTGGTTTGAATTCTGGCTCTTCCATTTACTAGATCTGTGGCCCTTAATGAGTCACAGGAGCATTCATCAGGTAAAAAAGCTCTACCTTCTCACTCTGGTCTGAGCTACCTCATCTCCATCATCTCCAATATTACAGTATTCTACTATTCTGAACTGGTCTCTGTTTGCAGCCTTGCCCTCTTGATCCAATAACTCAAAGTACCCAAAGTAATACTTTTAAAGCATAGATTACATTCATTTTCTGCTGAAAATCTTTCAGTGGCTCTCCATTTTACTGTTCATTTAAATAGCCTCTACAACCCCATACCATCTCTACCCCTTTCTCACCTCCTTTCTACTATTCTCTTTACATCTCCTATACCCCTCCCATCTCCTACTGTGCTCCAGCCAGAGACTTCTTCATTTTTCTTCAAATACAGGAGGCAGCCTCCTGCCTCAGGGTCTATGCACCGGCCTCTCTCTGACCTTTAAATGTTCTTCCCCTAAATTATTCCCACTGACTGCTCCTTTACTCAAATGTCATCCTTAGTGAAGCCTTCCATAACTAACCTATTTAAAATAATATAAAGGGCTATGGAAAAAAGAAGGGAAATGAGGAACGGAGTATTATCTTGTGTGTTTTATTTATCTTGATTACTGTAGCTCCTCCCATGAGAACACCAGGATTTTTGTCCTTTCAGTTCACTGTTGTATCCTCATAGTCAAAAATCAGTGCCTAGCAGATAGAAAACACTCAGATGTGTCCTTCTAATGATACTTAATACAGCTAATATTCACAAAGCACTTATTAAATAGGCCAGGCCTAGTTCTAAACATTTTACGTATTTAATCCTCCCCATAATCCTACGAAGAAAATACAATTACTATTTTCATTTTACAGAAATGAAGGAATGGAGGAAACTGAGGCTCAGAGAAACCAAACAACTTTCCTAAGGTTACACAGCTGGTAAGTGGAGCGACTATTTGTGGAATGAAATGAATGAAATTCGACTTGGCGCAGGGATGGAAATTGACACGGTGGGAGCGGATGCGATCAATTCACTCGAGTGCGTGCAACTTGAGCGCGCAATGCACCGCCTGACGCCAAGATCTAAAAGAGGATAAGAAGGTGCTTTGGAAACAGCGCGGAGAAGGCTCTAGTGAGCCACCGAACTGCCATCACCAGCCGCCGCTCAGTCCACGGCGGCGTGGAAACAGGAAATAGCGGCGGGCGTCGCGTGGGGTGACGTCACAGCGGCGCCGGTAGCGAAGGGCGGGGGAGGAGGAGGAGCGAACCGGGCTTGGGGGGCGGCTGCACAGTCTCTGGGATCCCCAGGCCTGGAGGGGGGTCTGCGCGCGGCCGGCTGGCTCTGCCCCCCGTCCGGTCCGGAGCGGGCCTCCCTTGGGCCAGCCCGATGTGACCGGGCCCAGCGGAGCCTGAGCTAGGAGCGGGTCCGTCGCGGAGCCGGAGGGCGGGAGGAACATGACATCGCGGAGGTGAGGAGCCCCGAGGGCCCGGCGCGGGCCTCGGCCCGGCCCCCGCCGCTTTCGTTCAGCCCCGCCCGGGAGGGGGCGGCCCGGCTGGGCTTCGGACTCCCGCCCGGGGTCGCGGGGGCAGGCTCCGTCCCAACCCCCTAGCCCTCCCGGGCCCGGGGGTCCGGCCCCACCGCGCCCCCACCCCTCGGGTCCCCATTCATTTCCTGCCTCCCCGAGTTCCGGCTCCCGCAGCCCTGGGGATGCCCGTCTGGACGGGGCAGGTAGAACCGCCCGGGGAACCGCGGACGCCAGCGGCCCGGCTCGGCGCCGCATTCCTGACCCATTGCCTCATGAGAATTGCCTCATGGTGATTCCGAAATAACCCCGCTCACTTGGGGAGGCTCCTCGGCCTGGGACGCGGGAGGGGAGAGTAGGGGCCAGTTGCGCGGGGCCAGGCCCCCGACGGTCGAGCCGCTCTGGGTCCCTCTGCCTCTTGCGCGCATTTGGGGGCTTTACTCAGGATCCCTGACCCCTTTATATGCCTCTTTGCATCTCCTTTTCCCCCCCACCCCTCACGTGCCAGAAATGGAAAAACTGACTGTATCTGCAGCTATTAGAAGTATTTCCTTCCTCTGCGATCTTCGCTTTGGGAGATGGAAGGGAAGGGAGCTGTATGTCTAGTTATTTAATCCTTCACAACCTTAAAAGTCAGGTAACATTAATCACCCCCGTTTTACGGATGTGGAAACTGAGGCTCAGAAGAAACATGCTAGTAAATGATAGGATTTGAACCTAAGAGTCAGAAGGAAGGTTAGTGAATTAATGAGATCCTTTGAAAGCTCAGGGCAATCATACTACTAATAGCTAACATTTATTTAGCTCTTACTGTATGCCAAACAAGTTTAATCCTTGCTATAACTCTATGAGGTAGGTATTGTTATCCCCGTTCTAAAGATGAGTAAAGTGAGTTTCAGAAGTTAGGCAACCTGGGCTTCCCTCGTGACACAGTGGTTAAGAATCCACCTGCCAATGCAGGGGACACGGGTTCGGGGTTCGACCTCTGGTCGGGGAAGATCCCACATGACCCGGAGCAACTAAGCCCTTGCGCCACAACTGCTGAGCTTGTGCTCTAGAGCCCCCAAGCCACAACTACTGAGCCCATGAGCCACAACTACTGAAGCCCGCACGCCTAGAGCCCATGCTTTGCAACAAGAGAAGCCCACGTACCACAGCAAAGAGTAGTCCCCGGTCCCCGCAACTAGAGAAAGACCGTGCACAGCAACGAAGGCCCAATGCAACCAAAAATAAATAAATAAATTAAAAAAAAAAAAGTTAGGCAACTTGCCTAAGGTCACTCAATCAATAAATGATGGAGCCAGAACCCTCTTGTTAATTACCAGGTTACTATTATTTTATAAGTATTGCCAATAATTTGTAAGCCTTAATTTTGTTGTTAAACAGTAGTGTGATCTACTGTTTTCAGATAATGATCCTGCTATTTTGTATTTCCACTCTTTATATACGATTCATATATAAGACCCATTGTTTAGACTTCATTGTCCTGTTATGGTCACTGTCTTAGACATTTGAGAAACTGTTTCAAGCTGTTGGAGTTATTTGAATGAGAGACTTTTCAAAATATTAGGAATGTCTTCTCAGAAATACCTGCACATTATTCATTCATGGAATGAAAAGAGAGAAAGAAGAAAACTGAAAACTTGGGAAGTGAGTGATTTGGACAGGTCTGTTGGCAAGTGCTTACAGATCTGGGTAATATATAATTGCATTTCAGCAGAACAGTGTATAGCCTCAAATGTTCTAATTCCTTAGGGAGCTTTTAAATAAAACAGTTGTCTATTTAATCTGTCAAATAGTCATTGAGCCTTTTGTTCCTTGTGTCTGCTCTTCCAGACAAGTAAGGATCTGCTTCTTTTAGGAGACAAAGACTGGGGGCTGGGAGTTGGGTAGGGGCTGGGTAGTAATAGACCCTACATTGTCCAGCTTGTTAGTTTAGAAGCCAGGAAGTGTCGGTATAGCCAAAGCAGCAAGTGGTAAAGATGACAGTTTGAAGCAGAGTAATTCCTCCTCTCTTCCAGCCCTCCCTTACCTATTATGGAAAAGAAACGTGTGCCACCTAAAAAGCAGATTATGAATGTAACACACATAATTGGGGATTATTATTATTTTTCAGATCATAGGTCTGTTTTATTATTTTAACCCAGCTTTATTGAGGTATAAATGACATGCAACAAATTGCGTATATTTAAGTGTACAATTTGATAAGTTTTGACACGTGTATACACTCGTGAAACCATCACCACAATCAAAATAATGAACATATCCATCACCCCTTTGATGGCTCCTCGTGCCCTTTATAATCCCTTCCTTGTTGCCAGGCAAACACTCTTCTGCTTTCTGTTACTATACATTAGTTTGCATTTCCTAGAATTTTATGTAAATGGACTTTTATGTGTGGCTTCTTATGCTCAGCAAAATTATGTTGAAATTCATCCATGTTGTAGTGTGTGTCATATAGTTCCTTACTTTTTATTGATTAGTAATATTCCATTTTATGGAGGTACCACCGTTTATTTATCCATCCACCTATTGATGGATGTTTGGGTTGTTTCAGAATTTGGCTTCACAAATAAAGCTGCTCTGAATGTTCAAGTACAAGTGTTTGTATGGATGTATACTTTCATTCCTCTTTGGTAAATACCTATCAGTGGTATGGTTGGATCACATAGCAGATGTATATTTAGCTCTTTCAACAATTGCCAAACTTTTTCAAAGTGGTTACCATTTACATTACATTTACATTACCATTTACATTACCATTTACATTCCCACTGGCAGTGTATTAGAGTTCGGTTCCTCCACATCCTGGCCAACACTTGGAATGGTCAGTTTTTAAATTTTAGCCATCTAAAGGGTGTGTCATTGTATCTCATTGTAGTTTTTTCCCCCATATCAGCACTTTTTAATTTTACTTATTTCATATTTTAATGGAGGTATAATTGACATAGAACATTATATTAGTTTCAGGTGTACAGCATAATGATTTGATATTTATTCATTGTAGTTTTAATTTGTATCTTCCCTGGTGACTAATGATGTTGATCATCTTTTCATGTGCTTATTTGCCATCTGTATATCTTCTTTGGTGACACGTCTATTTGATTAAATATTTGCACCCCCCCTTTTTTTTTTTTTTTTTTGTGATACGCGGGCCTCCCACTGTTGTGGCCTCTCCTGTTGTGGAGCATAGGCTCCAGACGCGCAGGCCCAGTGGCTGTGGCTCACGGGCCCAGCTGCTCTGCGGCATGTGGGATCTTCCTGGACCGGGGCATGAACCCATGTCCCCTGCATCGGCAGGTGGACTCTCAACCACTGTGCCACCAGGGAAGCCCTAAATATTTTCCCTTTTATAATTTACTTGTGAAAAAAAAATAAAATTTACTTGTTTGTTTTCTTATTGAAATTTGAGAGTTTCTTATTCTGGATACAAGTCTTTGATCAGAATTGCAAATATTTTCTTTTAGTCTGTGGCTTGTCTTTTCATTTTTTAAAATGTCTTAAACGGAGGTTTTTAATTTTGCTGAAGTCCACTTTATCAATTAAAAAAAAAAAGGATCATGCTTGTGGTGTCATTCCTAAGAAATTTTTGCATGACCCAAAATGTCTCAAATGTTTTCTCTTGTTTTCCACAAGTTTTATAGTTTTAGCTTTATGATCCACTTTGAGTTAACTTTTGTATGTGGTATGAGGTGTGGCTGTATCTTCTCTTTTTGCATATGGGTGTCCAGTTATTCTAGCACCATTTGTTGAAAAGACTGTCCGTCTTTATTGAACTTGTACCTTTGTTGAAAATCAGTTGTCCATTTATATGTGGGCCTATTTCTAGACTCTCTTCTGTTCCATTGATCTATTTGACTTTCCTTATGCCAATACCACATGATCTTGTAGCTTTATAACAAGTCTTGAAATCAGATAGTGTTAGTCTTCGAACTGTGTTCTTTTTCAAATGATTTTTAACCTCAGAATTAATTCATTCAACAAGTAGTTATTGAACCAGGCAGGATGAAGCAGTAGAATAGGCAAAGATCGTTGTTCTTATGGCTGAAAGAGAAAGTGGACAAACACATGAATAAATGAGACTATTTCAGGTAGTAATAACTGCTGGGAGGGAAAAAAATAAACCGAATGTGGAGAACGTGGTTAGTTTTGATAATGGGTTTAGGAAAGATCTCTGAGGAGGTGATCATATGAGCTGACTCCTGAATGACTAATATTCTGAATTTTGTTTTGTTTAATTATCAAAGTAATTCTTTTTGGTTCATGGGTTTAAGGTTTAGAGTTTGTATGCATTTAATAATTACAGTGTCATATATTCAGTATGCTGATACATCTCAACATCACAGGTAAGGAAAGGAAGGTATGAGCAATTATATGATTCTCCCTCCCACCCAGGTAATATAGCAATGCTAGTGCTGAGTTTAGATTTTGAGATTGCTCGGCTGCCCTACTCTGCCTTGTTTAGCTGACAAAACTGGCTGTATTCTTCAGCATCTGGTGCATCTTTTGCATTTGCTTTTGTTCCTCTGGAAGGTGGTGTCTGAGGGCTTAAACTGAGAGGGCCAGGAAATTTAGCTTGTTCTCAGACTCTAGGCTTTTGATTTATCTGATGCAGGTCAGGTACATTTGTCCCAGGCTCTCCTTAGTGGCCCTGTTTGTTTGTATCCTGTAGGGGTAAATAAACTTGCCTTACTGAAAAATAACAGTTCTACGTCTTTCCAGTTGAAACTGGGTTGTCTTTATTAATGTCTTGCCCCGATGTAAGCTCGGGTTTTTGTTCAGAGCTGCTCAAATGCAGGGGCCACTGCTAAGATCACTTACCCTTCTTGCAAGTGGTCAGTGTGGCGAATGTTAAGAGAGTCGCACAAGAGCTGGAAAAGCAGAGCCAACCCTTGTTTGTAATTGTTACTAGCGGGCCTTGGTGTACTTTGTTAGGCAGCTATGGA